TAAAAGCACCTGGACAAAAAATACACCATGTAGTCACATAGGAACAGTAACCAAAAAAGGGAAAAAGAAGAAGAAAAATACAAGAAAACCCGCAATATCTGGAGATACTAAGAGAAAAAACATAGAGAAGGAGCATAAAGAAGATAAAAATGGGAAAAATGCAAAAAGAAAAACAAGGAACGGGGTTAACTGTGAGAAGAAATTAAAAAAAATAAAAAATAAAAAATTGCAACCAGAAACAGGGGAAAGAAAAAAAGCTGAAAACTAGGACCTGGGAGGGGAAAAATAAAGAATAATAGTAAAAAGGACAAAAGTGTTAATAATAATAGTAGTTTTAAAACAGACAAAAACAAGCAAGCTAATAACCAGAAAAAAGAAAGCGAAGAATAAAAAAAAGAAAAAGAAAATCGGGGGAGGTCAAGGCAGGGCACCCAGGCTCCGTCAGAGCATGCAGACTGGAAAGGAGTTCCTGTGGGCCCAGAAGGTGGGTGGGAGTGGGGGATGACTTCACCTCTGTTCACCAAGCAGGTGCGGAGTATTAGAGTAACAAGGGGAATGTCGTACCTTTTCAGTTGTCCAGGTCCAGAGTGTCCTTGGGGTTACTGGCAAGCAGAATCTGTTCTTAAGCCCCTGGAATCTGGGAGAGTACTGTCTCTTTAGATATCCAAAATGGTCAAGCCTCTTGTAAACATTCAAAATGGCTACACCCTCTAGATAGGCAAAAGTCCACAGCTCAGACTGCCCTCCTCTTTGCTGCTTCTCCTTTTATTCCCCAGCCACCAGAGCACTCCTCCATGCAGTCCCTGGCTAGCAGGGCTGATTTTTAGGTTAATTCTTAGATCTTACCAGATTCGGCACTCTCCAAGCTGTTTGTGCCGTGCTGTCAGGATCACTCAGGATCGCTGCCAGACTGCAGCTCCACATGTCTCCTTTTTTGTTATTTTCATGCAAATTCTTCTGCTAGTTGGGGTTTAGTCCACTTCTGTATCCTTCCCTTCAAGGCTAAGGGTCCAGGATTATCTTGTGTGTCTGTGTTAACTGGTTCCCCTTTTCTTTGTTGAAGAGGATCTGTGCAGTCTTTCTGCCTAGTCCGCCATCTTACCGGAAGTCCTGATTTTTTTCTTGATAGGAAGTGATACTTTCTAGACTGTTCTTCAGATACTTGTTTTCTTCCCTCTTGTTGAAGCATCAGTGGTGATGTAATATTGTCCAGCTCTTACTAATTTCGAATTCAGCAGAAAATCAAATTGTCCCTGACTGTGTTATAAAAAGAAAGGGTTTCCCTGTGTTTGAGTTTGGATGTAATTTCAAATGTGTAACCAATAAGATCTACCCCAGATATGTGTCTGTGGCTTTACCCTACTCAGATATTTGTTTGTATGATTCATTTGCCCACAGTGTGGTTTGTCAGTCAAGTTATATAAAAAATAGAAAAAATAAAATTTATGTAAATAATCTTTTTAAAAATAGAATTATCCTAGGGAGAATAAATTTATTTATTTCTTTTCCCTTCGGGATTTTAATATATAAAGAAACTGGGAAAAATAGTTTATGACTTCTACAAACTCATCTTTCCCTTTGGGGCCATTATTATTTAGTGTTTTTCAGATTTTAACAAATTCTTTCCTGTTTTTCTGACCATTCCATGTGAAAACTGACTTGCTAGCATCTAGATCATCATTATAGACAAGGTTTCTAAATTTCCTTTATAGTAAGTTGCTAATGAGAGAGAGAGGAGGAGGGAGAGAGGGAGAGAGGGAGAGAAGGAGGTTAAAGTCACACGGAAAAATCACTGCATTACTGAACAGCTTGAAAATAGTCTGATGAAATAGGCATGGAAGAAATGGGGAAAAAAATAGGGGCAGGGGTTGGGAAAGAAGCAAAACTGAACTAATTATATTTTAGGAATAAAAAAGTAATCATAAATTTTCATATTTGTATTTTTTTTTTCACCAGTAAGATTTTGATACGTTAATAGACTTTTCTTGATAATAAGAAACAAATTAAATATTATACTACTTACTATCATAAAGCAGATCTTGTATAATCTTACCTATTGATATAGTCATAGCTCTGGATGCAGTTGATAGTGAATGGTTTAGATAGTGATTTGATAGCATTATTTTGGCTCAAAAGAGTTTTGTATATTGTAGGATATATTTTTCCAATCCTCCTTCTCATATCTGAGGTTATGTAACTATTTTCCTACAGAAGATATTTTTATGCCAGTGCAGAAAAATTTAATGGATTGGGCTAGTTTTGCTCTCTTACTCCCCTTGCCCTCATAGCAGGAAGATAGGTAGGCCCTGTTGTATTTGAGTTACCTCTCCTGTTGTAACCTCACTTCCTTTCTTTGAATCCAAACTTCTCTCTTCTTTCATTACTGACATATCTGAGATGCAGTTTATCGCAAGTAAAACCGTCGAGTATTTGGTGTTTTTCTTGGTTCTTTTGAGTGGGATCATACCAGAGTCTAAGGAGTGAGGCTGACCAGACCAAGGGGGAGAACTTGGGGTGCTAGTGTTGAGCAGTCTTAGGAGACATGATGTAATTTACCATGGCTGCGTGAGGAGGCTGATAAGATCCCTGAACGTGAAGGTACAGATGAGCTTCCTGTTTAGCCAGAACATCTGTTCTTGAGATGGTCTTATATCTCTTTGAGATATGGAAGCTTATGCTGGGACCTCTCCCAGACCTCATCCTATGTGTCTCTTTGTAGCCTTTTTTTTTTTCCATAATAAATCTGTGGTTGTATGTATGGTATACTGTCTGTGAAGTTTTGTTCATCATTTCAGTGAATTATCAAACCCTGAGGGACAGTGAGAGACACAGGGGCTGCTTTCTGCCTATTTGACAGTTTGAAAGACTGTGTCCTTTAACATTTGAGCTTTGATCTAGTTCCACGTGACTAGGATCAGAGAAGGGCTGTGTGGGCATCTGATCTGTGAGCTCTGACTCATCTCTGGGTGGCTAGGATCAGAGAAGGACTGCATTAGCAACTGGTCTGAAGAATGGTGTCCATCTAATTTGTGGGTTCTGACCCAGCTCTGGGTGACTAGGGTTGGAGAGTATGTTGCTTGGGCAGCTGGAAATGAGAATGGAGAAGTGGAAAAGTAAAGACTGAATCCATCTCCACACTTGGGAATTGGGTTCATGCTGATCCTTACTACACAGTTAGGAATGAAGGTGGAATTTACCCACTTTGCCCTTGATTAGTTCAGTGGGCTTTCAGCATGGCTTAATGGAAAGAAAATGAGCTTTAGAGTCAGATAGAACTATAATTCAAATTCAGACTCTGGCACTTTTTTATCTGTGTAATCTTGAACAAGTTAATTATAATTTTTTTTCTCTTTTCCCACATCTATGAAATGGTAATAATAACATCTCCCTCTTAAGTCTATTGCAGGATTCAATGAGAAAATGTGTAGTGTTTTCTATAGTACTTGATAAATTTAGGTACTCAGTTAATACTTTCTAGAAAAAGAGTAACCTCAGATGCTATACATAACAACATGGAAGATTTTATAATTTGATTTAAAATAGCATATGTAATATGATGTTATGACTTTAAATAAGAACAAGTATACATGGTTGAAATTTGAGTGAAAAATTAACCATTGAATGAAAAATGTTTCTTTTGTCGCTCCTCCCTCCCCTTTTTCCAATCCAGGTCCTGAGGGAGTCTAACAAATTAGCAGAAATGGAAGAACCACCCTTGCTTCCAGGAGAAAATATTAAAGACATGGGTCTGTAATGGTACTTTTTTGTTTAATTTTCTTCTGCTTTCTGACTGTACAGAATATTCAATTCAGAGAATAAGCCCACTGCCTCAGAGACGTCTCCTGTCTGGCAGCACCTTAGTATGTTCTCCAAGCCTAGGTCTAGACCTTTTTGTGTTATGTATATTTGGACTGCTAGGAAACATGGAAGTTGTCTGTGAAAAATTCCATTGTTTTGAATGGCTGCATTCAGATACTGGGTTTTGTAGATAAACACTGAATTGTCACTTCATGCAAGTAATTTTCTTAAATTATTTCTTATTTGCCTCCATTATTTTCTTTTTCCTACTAGTAATAAACTCAGGCCAGTTTTTGGATGAAAGTATTTCTTTCTCATTGCAAAGCACGCCAGCTCCATGTAGGTGCCTTTCTTCCCAGCGTAAAGAACTAAACATATACCTATAATATGGACTAGAAACGGAAAGTGAGCATTTAAGTTATGTTTTTTGTCCTCATGCTTTTACTTTGCATCATCTCTGTGGGTAATTTACAAAATACCCAAAGATTTTGAGAAATAATGTAATATATTAGGAGAATAAAGTAAATGGTTCCTGAGCCAAATTAGACATATCATCTTTCATTTTAGTATCAATCATAAATTTTGAAAAGGGATTTAAGGGCTTAATTTTCCTTAGTTAGGTGTCATTTTCTTGTGTAAAAATAAGCAAGCCAAAGACAAACTATGCATGTACATGTCAACTACAAGGCATGTCATAGCACAGTAGTTAACAGCATAGGTGCTAATTGAAAATTTGGTGGTTTAAAAACACCATACTCCATGAGAGAAAGATAGGAAAATGCTTTCATAAGGATTACAGTCTTGGAAATCCTATGATCAGTTCTGCTCTGTTCTGTAGGGTCGCTAGGAATTCTGGTAGCGTAATGCCTAAGGCACTTGACTTCTAACCAGAAGGCTGGCGGTTCAAACCCACCAGCCACTCCTCGGAAGGAAGGTTGGGCAATCTACTTCCATAGTGATAATTGCCTCAGAAACTCAAGGAGGGGTCGCTGTGAGTTGGGTCCGACTCCATGGCACGTAACAACAACAGCAACAATAGGGTTGCTGTCAGTCAGAATCAACTTGACAGCAATGGGTTTTAAATTTAATTTCTTAGCACTTAGTGTAATGTTTGTCTCTTCTTGTTCTTGACCTGTGATTGAATATCTGACCCAGGGTCCCCCTCCATCCTTCCCTATCTTCAGGATTGTGCATACCCTAGGCTCTAGTTCTGCTGAAATACTTACTGAGCTAGATATTACGTATAAAATAACAGCAAACAAAACCAAAAACCGTGCCTATTGTCATTGAATTAATTCTGATTCATAGTAACTTGCATTGGGTTTCCAGGGCTGTAAATCTTTATAGAAGTAGATTGCCTCATCTTCCTCCTGCAGAGCAGCTGGTGGATTTGAGCTGCCAACCTTCTGCTTAGCAACCAAATGCATTGTGCACTATGGCATCAGAACTCCTTATAATAACAATCATTATCATCACTGAGTACTCACTGTCTGATTTAATCATTCTTACAGTAATTTTCTGAGAATGATATTAACCCCATTTTGTATGTGAACAAACTAAAGCATAGAGAGACCGTCTAGCTAGTAAAATTATAGGTAGCATTTTGACAGTTTTTCTTCTCCTTCAAACCTAAAGCCCATGCTGTTTCCACTATGATAAATTGTCATATAAAAGATTCTCTACTATTTAGCCTCTTTTGTTGACTTCTCTTCCTTTAAATATCAACACGCCCTAGGGTTTCATCATTGACATTTTCCTTTTTCTATATATTCTCTTTGATTGACCATATCTAAATTAGTAGTTTCACATGTCACTTTTATGCTGATGGGTCCAAAATTTGTGTTTCCATGTCTTAACACTTATGAACAGATGCCTCCTGGACACATTCCCTTGGACATCCCATAACCAAACCCACCAAATCTGCTGCCATCGAGTCTCTTCCAATTCATAGTGACCCTGTATACAGTATCTCCAAAACTGAAGTCATTACCCAGATTTTCTTCTTTTTCTGCATTCTCTATCTCAGTTAATATTAATACCAACTCTCCAGTCAGTTAAGTCCAACATCTGAGCGTTTAATCTTAAACTGCTCCTTTTTTCCTAAGCTCCCATTTCAAAATAGTTATCAGATCTGGAGGAGTCAGTCTCTAAGAAATTTCTTGGATTTATCTTCTCTCCATTTTTATGAGCCCTTGGTATAGTATTTATGTATACTGTGTTTCAGATACCTATGAGAAACTTCACGTGGAGATACCTAATAAAAAGATAGGGGAGTTTAGAAGACAAATTGGGTTGGAGGTCCATATTTAGGAATCATCAGAAAATGGATATTGGTTGAAAATGAGAGGATGAAGGTAAACCAGAGTATATGGAGTGATAAGAGGACCAAAGGCATAGCTTTGGTAAATGCTAACATTTTACAATTACATTGGAAGAGAAGAACTAGGGAAGGAAACTCAGAAAGAGTAGAGAGAGTATGGTAGGAAATAATTAGAAGAGGGCCAGACCAGACACTTGGCTTTGTTGAAATACATACTTTGCTTTCCCAATTCTGTATCTTGGACTAGGCTTTGCCTCTGCATTGAGTGCAGTCTCACTATCTCTGCCCATCTAAAGGAATACCATATGTTACTTGAATACTTCTCTGATCCCATAGCTGAATGAACTTTTCCCTTCTCTGCATTATTTAGAGTATATTTTTGTGCCCCTTTCTGCACAAATTGCATATTCTCACATATTACTTTTTTTTTCTATTTATTTCCTATCATCCTAGTGTATTCTCTTCAAAGTCATTTTGGTATACCTCACGGAATTTATTATGGATTCCTTCTCTGTGAACCCAGTGGGAAGCTGAGGGGATGCATAAATCTGAGATCTTTTGGGACCACGTAACATACCAGTTCTCATCAAGTTGACTTTGTTTCATGGTGACTCCACGTGTGCCTGAGTAGAACTGTGCTCCAAAGGGTTTTCAGTAGCTGGTTTTTTAGACTAATTCACCAGGCCTTTCTTCTGAATTTTTCTAGGTGGACTTGAACTACCAAACTTTCAGTTAGCAGCCAAGCTTATTACCCATTTGTACCACCCAGGGACTTTTGGTATCACCAGGAAGTATTACTATTACAGACTTTACAGCAGTACCTGATATGGTAAATAAAATACCATGATTCAAAATCCTCTGTACAGACTTGATTATTATGCCAGAATTTCAGATTTAATAGAGAAAATAAAGTTGGGGCAACCTTGTACATACCCATTTATGTAGAAATGTCTTGGATATTTAGTTGGCTTAATTTAAGTCTGCAGTTTAGATATTTCTTCAGAAGTTAAGTTAGTGGTAGGAACATCCACGGGATAATTTAAAGAACTAACAGTCTTTAGAGTATTGTGGCCTTGCCACATCAGGAGTAGGTAGCACTAGTGAATCATCCTTTGAAATAGGAGACAGATATTAAATAGATTGGGCTAAGTTAGTGATTTAGTTTTGAGATAGAAGAGGAAGCAAAGAATTTGTAGTAAGAGGTACTGGATGGTTTCAAGCTTCAATCTTAGCAGTTACTGGTTCTGAGACATTGGACTTCTCTGAGCCCTGCTATTCTTACCTAAAAATTGTAGATAATTATGGTTTCTATCTTTTAAGGGTTGTTATGAAGGATATAGGAGATAATCAGGTGAAGAGTAGATTGTAAACTAAAGTACTGGACCACCAATACTGGTTGCTACTGTTGTCATTTGCTCTGGTAAGATTCTTAGGCATAATCTCCCTTCTATTTGGTACAAACTCTGCTGTTTATAACCTCTCTCTTCAGAGGGACTTAGATGCCACCAGACAGAGGAGGAAGGATAGAGGGGTCAAAACAAAGCAGAACCTAATGATGATAATAATAATTTAGGTATAAACCCTTATATTTGTATAGTACTTTAAATTTTAGAAGCATTTTCATGTATGTATATTATCTCATGATTATAGAAGAAAGGGGATGGTATAGAAGAAAAGTATTGGCCTAAGAGGGATATAATCTTTCATGGAATGTAGAAGAATAAGATGGATTTTCTTGTGTGGTAAGAAAAGTGGCTCTAAAAGTAATCCAGAAATGTTTTTAGTAACATTGATTAAGGCTTTCTTTGTTGAAGTAAAAATTCTTAAGGGCAAAAAAATGTGTGCAGAGCAGGTTTGTGTATCTTCACATAATGTTGGGTTTATTTGATTTTAAAAGCTTCCCTCCAAATGAACCCTTCATTGGAAACAATGATTTGAAATAAAGTAGCTCATACTTGAAATTCCCAAGGGGACTATTTTGAAGGTTAGCAGTGTTTGCTAAAAGATAGCCTCATTCAAAATTCTGTACAAAGCAGTCAATCCTTCAAAGTGATGAGTAAGAAGTGGCCCTAAGACACCTAATGGGAAGGAAGGTTGGGCAATCTACTCCCTTAGTGATACTGCCTTGGAAACCCAAGGAAGAGTCACTGTGAGTCAGATCCGACTCGACACATATAACAACAACAACAACAAGGCACCTAACAATAAGAAACAGTAAGTTTTTCCCAGAAGCTTCTTGAAACAAAGGTTCTTAGAAGTTGGTCACTCCAGAGTAGTACATCTTACTTCCTTGTAATGATAAGACATTCCTTTATCTGCTGATTTGCTGCAGTAGTGTATAGTGGGAATATTTTGAATATTTGTAATATTAATGTTGTACGATTTAAAAACTTCATATCGGGCTTTACAAATTCTGCCATATTAAATAGTATTTTGAATTAGTGATAGCTGAATTGTCTTGTTTAATAAATTAATCCATGTCTAAAACGCATGATATTGCTTAGGTTCATCATTTATCATTCAATAAATGATACTTCTGATTTTTCTGTAGAAAAGTTGGACACTGGTTGCTTGGTCAGGGATATAATATACTCTTATTAAACTATTATTTCTCTGAGAAATCACATCATATACACATTTCATTTCATCGGTAATACTTCCCCAAGAAATATAATCTACTGTGTGATGAGAAGTTCCTGATATAATGTGCGTGTTTTGGATATTGTTACTTTGGGGGGAGTGTTTGACAAACTAAGGAGCTCTGGTGGTGGTAAAGCATCTGGCTGCTAACCAGAAGGTTGGTGGTTCAAACTCCCCAGCTGCTCCGTGGGAGAAAGATGAGGCAGTCTGCTTCCATAAAGATTTACAATCAGTGGCAGTGGGTTAGGTTTGATTTTGCTTGACAAACTAGACTGTGGCCATAGGAAGACTGGCAGATTGGTGAGACAGTACAGAAATTGTGTGTTAAGATGAACTGTGACTGTACCTTGCAATGTTTACATTGTTACCTCTGTTACCAACCACCACTATCCCAACTCCTACCACCACTGTTTCATCCAGGAGTGAAAATGGCCATCTTTGTTTTCTTCTATTCTGTCTCAGAGGAAGAGATGTCCCTCCTCCTCCTCAAACTTTCTCCTTTTACCAAGTTCCTCCCCCAGATTACTGCATGGTTGGAAAAGGTTGAGTGAGATCTCTGAAGTCTCTATGAATCATTGATTCTGTGATTTTTCAGCATAAGTTAGACTAACAATCAGAATTCTATTAAGTTTTATTTGTGAAAGTAAGAGAATGCATTTTTTAATAATATACTGTGTATAGTAAACTGTGGACTCTTTGCCTTTTCAGCCAAAGATGTAACTTATATATGTCCATTCACTGGTGCTGTACGAGGAACTCTGACTGTCACAAATTACAGGTTATATTTCAAAAGCATGGAACGGGTAAGACTTGCTATTGAATTAGATTTTTCTGTGTACGCCTTTATGTTTACAGCCAGTTTTGTTCATTTTTGATCATTTGTAATGAAAGTATTTCTGATTGAATTTTTTTTTTCTTTTTTTCCCCCAGCTATAATTAAACAGTATAAATTGCTCAGTTTTAATTAACTGATTTTTCCTTTCCTTCCTTCAGGACCCTCCATTTGTTTTAGATGCTTCCCTTGGTGTGATAAGTAGAGTAGAAAAAATTGGTGGTGCTTCCAGTCGAGGGGAAAATTCCTATGGGCTAGAAACTGTGTGCAAGGTAAATTTTACAATATGTATATGATTTTTTTTTCCATTTTGGGAAATATTTCTTTTAAATAGGGCCTGTGTTTGGATGCTGGTTTCAAAAATATCAAATGATCAAATGAATTTTATATTAGAAAGTATCATTCAAGTAGAAGAAAACAAATAACATTTAGGATAAATAAAGAGAAAAGTTGCCCTATCATAAGGTAGATTTGACTTCTTTGGGGCCCGATTCAGTCTGTATACTTTGATATGCTCACATAGTCATAACATCATCTTTTCATAATGACCATCATAAATATGCATACTACTAAACAGGATACAAAGTACTTGCACAGACTTTTTCTCACTTAAGGTCTCATAAAGACCCTGTGAGGAAGTAAAAATAGACATTGTTACCTTTAATTTGCCAATGAAAAACATGAGCCTCTGCACAGTTAAGGTATGGTTGGTTTGGATATGATTTATTCATCATCACCTATCTTTTCTGTTTCTAGTTCTCATACTTTTTCTGCTTCTGAAACAATGGTAGAAAAGTGATATTGTAGACCTTTGCCATTTACATATCTATAATTGCATTGTCTCTGTAATGAAACTTAGATTTTGTTTGTTACATTTTTACCAGTGGTACTGTGTACCACTTCTATAAGCCAGTGTTCTCCTTATTATGGCCTAATGAACACCTGTACAAATCTCATTTGAGATCAGGTTTTTTTTTCCTGTCATTTTCTGTTCTGCCTGTTCCAAACATAAAAGCAACAGTGCATGCATAATTCAAGATACTTTCTTTTTCATTTGTTTATTTATTAAACTTTTATTGTGATTTGGGTGAAAGTTTACAGAGCAAATTAAATTTTCCATACAGCAATTCACAATTTGTTTCATGCCATTGACTGCAATTCCCCACAATGTAATAGCTCTCTTCGACTTCCTCCCTATAGTTACTTTCCTGTGCAAGATACTTTCTTATAACAAGGTGTATTTCTTATGCTAAAATCTATTATGATACATTTCTTAGAAGTTTTGTGACTCTAGTATCAAAACTAATGACTTAGTAAGTATTTTTATGCTTTTCCATGTAGTCAAAGGGCTCTGATAAATACAGTAGCAGTTAGCCATGTGTCATGTGTACAGTGTCCTGGTCACTTTTTTTTTTAATATAAGAGTAAATAGAACATAGAAGATATGAGAAGGTGAGGGAGGATGATTTGAAATCTCATTATTTTAAATATAATTTTTTCTGTGGAACAAGGTGATTATCAACAAATCTAAACATTCGTATTGTTTTGTTGTTAGGTGTCATCACAACGACTCACAGTGATCCCATGTACAACAGAAAAAAACATTGCCTGGTTGTGTACCATCCTCACAATCCTTGCTATACTTGAACCTATCATTGAAGCCAGTTTCAATCCATCTGTTGAGGGTCTTCCCCTTTATTGCTGACCCTCTTACTTTACCAAGCATGTTATCTTTCTCTAGGTCGTGTTCCCTTCTGACCACATGACCCAAGTAAGTGAGATGAAGTCTGATCATTCTGGCTTCCAAGGACCAATCTGGCTGCACTTTTTCCAGGACAGATTTGTTCATTCTTCTTGCGGTCCATGGTATTTTCAGTACTCTTTGCCAACACCATAATTCAAAGACATCAGTTCTTCTTCAGTCTTCTTTATTTATTGTCCAGCTTTCACATGCATACGAGGCTATTGAAAATACCATGGCTTGGGTTAGGCTCACCTTAGTTTTCAAAGTTATGTCTTTTTTCCTTAACACTTTAAAGAGATCTTTTGCAGCAGATTTGCCCAGTGCAGTATGACATCTGATTTCTTGACTGCTGTTTCCATGGGTGATGTCTGTGGATCCAATTAAAATGAAATCTCTGATAACTTCAATCTTTTCTCCATTTATCATGATGTTGCTTATTAGTCCAGTTGTAAAGATGTTCGATTTCTTTATGTTGAGGTATAATCTAAGGCTACTATACTGAAAGCTGTAGTCTTTGATCTTCATCAGTAAGCACTTCAGGTCATCTTCACTTTAAGCAAGCAAGGTTGTGCCCTCTGCATATCACAGGTTGTTAATGAGTCTTCCTCTGGTCCTGATGCAGCATTCTTCATATAGTCCAGCTTCTCAGGTAGTTTGCTCAGTATACAGATTGAATAAGTATGGTGAAAGGAAACAACTTGCTGTACTCCCTTTCTAATTTCAAACTATGTAATATCCCCTTGTTCTGTTTGAGCACCAGCCTCCTGGTCTATGTACAGGTTTCTCAGGAGCACAATTAAGTGTTCTGGAATTCCCATTCTTCTTAATGTTATCCATAATTTTTTATAATCCACACAGTCAAATACCTTTGAATAGATTTAGTTACCTCTGTGCCACTCTGACAAGAATATACCACAAATGGCTTGAAGAAACAGCAGTTTATTCTCTTACAGATTGGAGGCTTTAAGTCTGAGTTCACAGTGCCAGACTCTAGAGGCTGGGTGAAAGCCTCTCACCCATGGGCTTCAGCTCTGCCTCCTGCACCCAGCCCACTGAAGCTAGAGGCTGTTCGTCACTCAGACAGCTGCTGGCTGCTGAGAATGACAGGCCCAAGGTTGACAAGTAAAAAGGCACAGTCTCAATGTTACCAAACCACACAGCAGGCCATTAATTCAAGTCCGTTCAAAGTCCCAAGGTCAGCAGAGCATGACAGGGTTCTGAACAATCACATAGCTACATGCAGGGTTCAAGCATGCCACAAGCTAGAGGCGATTCCCCAAGGCTTCTCCTTATATGTAGGAAGCAGACCACATCCCTAAGGCAGCTACTTAGCTGCTTCTGGTAGATCCCACCACGGAATTGATTACCAGTCATGGGGAATACTACATCCAGCTGCCCAGCCACTCAACCAGGCCCAGCCAAGTTGACTATCACAGTCAGTAAAAGACAGGTAAACATCTTTCTAGTATTCTTTGTTTTCATCGAAGATCCATCTGACATCAGTGATATCCCTCCTGCTACATCCTTTTCTGAATCTGACTTGAATTTCTAGAAGTTCCTTGTCAGTATACTGCTGCAAACGTTTTTGAATTATCTTCAGCAAAATTTTACTTATGTGTGATTTTAATGATATTGTTTGATAATTTCCACGTTCTGTTGGATAACTTCTCTTTGGAATGGGAATAAATATGGGTCTTTTCCAGTCAGTTGGCCGGGTAACTCTTTCTCAGATTTCTTGGCATAGATGAGTTAAGTGCCTCCTGCACTGCATCCATTTGTTTGGACACCTCAATGGGCATTCCATCAATACCTGGAGCTTTGTTTTTTGCTAATTTCTTCAGTGCAGCTTGGATTTCTTTCAATACCACTGGTTCTTGATCATATGCTACCTCCTGAAATGGTTGAACATCGATCAGTCCTTTTTTGTTACAGTGACTCTGTGTATTCCTTCCATCTTCTTTTGATGCTTCCTGAATCATTCAGTATTTTGTCCATAGAATCCTTCAGTATTGCAACTTGAGGCTTTAATTTTGTCTTAAGTTCTTTCAGCTTGAGAAATACTGAATATGTTCTTTCCTTTTGGTTTTCTAATTCTAGGTCTTTGCGCATTTCAGTATAATACTTTACTTTCTCTTCTCAAGCTGCCCTTTGAAACCTTCTGTTCAGCTCTTTTACTTCATTATTTCTTCCATTTGCTTGAGCTATTCTCCTTTCAAGAGTTTCCTTTCAGATGTCTTCTGACATCTGTTTTTGTCTTCTTTCCTTTTCTGTCTTTTTAATGACTATTTGCTTTCTTCATGGATAATGTTCTTGATGTCATCCCACAACTTGTCTGTTTTTCGGTCATCAAATCTGTTGTTCATATGTTCTCCAACTTCAGATGGTATAAAATCAAGGTCATATTTTGGCTCTCAAGTGTTTCACATTGTGAAATATTTGCAGGGCCCCACGATGCTGCTTTATGACGGCTCTGTGGTTAAGAGTGATTCTGAATACCTCTACTAGTTGTAGAGATATTTACTGAGGACAAACAGGGCATCAACTTAGGTTTCCTTGGATGTTTGTTTTAAAAGATAGCAAAGGTAGTTTTGTATCAGATTTATGATAAGATGTTTTCTTGTTCATGTACTGTAGGTAAAATGGCTGTCATTATACAGTAAACTTACATAGGCCATTTTTACCTACCGAAAGGAATTAGTGTGAAATTTGGTATTTTATATTTTTTTTCAGTGAGAAAATATTCTCTTGAAAGGCAACAGAGTTATTTGTTTTTATGGCATATTGTTGGCCATATGCTTAATTTATTCGATACGAGTTCTGTCATTAAGGGAAAAGCAATATAACAAAAGCAGGTGACTAGTACGATTATCACTGAGGAAAAGGAAGACGTAGAGGAACACAAGAGGTACAGACAATAAAGGCAGAAAAAAAATATATGGTCTCAAATTAGAACCTGGTGTCTATATGAAAAACTTGTTGCTATAAGTGGTAAAGTGTCTCTGTGTTCAGTTTTACAGCATAGGATATAATAAAGCTACTTTGAATTCTGCTTGCATTGAAGCATTTAAAATAAAATGAGTAGTCTTGAAATTATTCTTAATTCCATATTTTTTTCTAAGTACTTTTAAGATGTCAGTATATAAGAACATGAATGTCTACATTCAGCCTGAGCATAGAAATTTTTTTGAAGACTAATAATGGAAAGGAACTTTGATCTATATAAAAATGCAACGTTAGAGCTGGATGATATCAACTAAACTGTTCAGAATTCAGAAGTGGTAGACTTCTCTCCTTCCATGTAGGAGACCTGCATCCAACTCCCAGCCAATATACCTCATGTGCAGCCACCACCTGTCTGTTAGTGGAGGTTTATTATGTCCTGCTATGATGCTGAACAAGTGTCAGTGGAGCTTCCAAACTAAGACTAGGAAAAAAGTGCTGGTGATGTACTTCCAAAAATCAGCCAGTAAAACCTGTATGGATAGACTACAACAGTCTAATCTGTAACCAGTCATATGGAGGGGGTAGGACTGGGTAGAGTTTCATTTGATTTTGTATGGAGTTGCCATATAAACAACAACAACATTCAGAATTCACTTGTTAGTACATAGTTGGTTGAAGAGCTTGAATGTAGAATGGAGGAAGACCTTTAGGCAGGCATTGGGTCTATTAGTCCAGTTGCAAGAGACTTATGAAGAGAAGGTCCAATGGAAATGAGCCCTAGGAAGGGGTGATAGGTAAGAAAATAATCACCAGGTATAATGGGAATGAAAACACATATGAAATGTAGTGAAAGCTAATCAGATTTTTAATTGGGGAATTCATGACAATATGGGCTTTCTCAGGGGAAAAAATATAAGAAATATATGTTGATAGTGTGTCTTAGTCATGATATTAGGCTTCACATATAAAACCTCAAATCTTCAGTGCTCGTATCAAATGTTACCTCCTTCACTGGTCTGTCTTAAATCCATGAGCAGAGGTAAATTTTGTGACCTTTGAATTCTGTCTTACATTAAAATGCCTGTGTTTCTTTTTATTTCTCCCCATAAATCATCTTAAGTTCCCTGCCTCCAAGGATCTGTTGTCTGATTTATTTTTGTATCCCGGATTAATAAATCTTAATCTTTACATAATTTTAAGTAATCTCATTCCTTAAATAAAGCATGATCTATGATTGACTTGGATACTAAATCTTTTCTAGGATATCCGGAATTTACGGTTTGCTCATAAACCAGAAGGGCGAACAAGAAGGTCCATATTTGAGAATCTAATGAAATACGCATTCCCTGTCTCTAATAACCTGGTAAAATACCTTTTACCTTTAAAAAACTTACATTATAATAATTGACATAGTATAAAAAACTTTTCTAGGCTACTTAGGATTTCTACATTTACATTCCTACATTGCCCTTTAACCAGATACGTAATTTAGGTTTAATCTAATTTCTTGGGCCTATTTCTTCAGGTATAAAATGAAGAAGACAGACAGTTGATTTTGGAGGCTTATTCTAGTACTGACGTTGTATAATTCTATGATCTTCTTATCCAGGGAATAGGAGTGATTTTGAATACCTCTACTAGTTGTAGAGACATTTACTAAGGAAAAACAAGGCATCAGGGTGTTTCCTATCATGGTGTTTCTGTGATGAAAAGCTATATGTGGTCTTGATTAGGAGTTGAAATCTCCTTTGCAACTGAGATATTGGAATAAAGACTAGCAATTTTGGGAAAGATGGAAAGCCAAATGCTTGCTGAGTTTCTATTGTGTGCTATTAATAGTTTTAAACTCACTCATTTACATTATATCATTTAAATGCCACATTAGCCTTGTGGAGGTAGGTATTATTTTATTTATCCCTATTTAGAGATATAACTAGGAGATGGTAAGCAATTAATTCAAAGAGATAGGTAGTAAAAGGTACAATTTGGAATCAATACTGGTTTTCTGACAACAGTTATAGTGTTTTTCTTTAACAACATAGTTGTTTCTGCCAATATGTTTATAAAGATAAATAGTTTTTGTGGGTACCCAAATCACTAATTAAATGCCAAAAAATTAAAAACTAATTTAATACATTTTAGAAAATGCAACATACAAAGCTGCTTACCTGCTATCTGCAATGTCAGATCGGTTAGTTATATCAAAAGATGTCTTTCTTGTGTAATAATTTCTTTTACTATTGCATAGCAAAGTTACATTAGGTACCAAAGATAACTGAAGGATATATGACAATATTTTTAAAATTGATAAATATTTGTAGTGAGTCTCTATGTTCTTTGTATGTTTGGAGAATATACAAAAAAACAGTAAAATTTTAAAATTATGAAACAAAAATATAGAAAAGGACATCAGTATAAAATACCCTCACAGATAAGAAAATGAAAACTTTGGGTGTGATAAGCATTTGTTTCTGGTTCATTATCTACTTAAACATGTTACTCAGCTATTAACTCTATTTGCCTTTTTGTAGCCCCTTTTTGCTTTTGAATACAAAGAAGTATTCTCTGAAAATGGGTGGAAGGTATATGATCCTCTTTTAGAGTATAGACGGCAGGTATGTACTTCTTTTTTGTTTTTAATTTTACTATTCTATGTTCTTTTCATTACCAAAACATCTTGATGGGTAGAAGTAAGTAGCTTTCTATCGTTTTTTAAGTTTTTATTTTTTAAATGAAGATGAATCCTGGTTGTTTGACTGCCTTTCAGTGTCTTTTGAACTACTTTTCAGAATACATTAATAAGTTTTTTGGGGAACTTGCCTTTATTATTATTTTTTATTATTTTATTTTTGCAGTGTCTTCTGCCCACCCCCAGGTAACCAACAAAGAAAGTTTCCTTCCATATATAAGCCTTTCCTTGACTTTTCACAATAATGAACTAATACTATATTTGTCCTTCTGTGGTTAACTTATTTCACTCATAATGTCCTCCAAGTTCATCCATGTTATGCAGTGTTCTTCAGATTCTACTTTATTCTTTAGTGTTGCACTGTATTCCATTGTGTGTATGTACCATGTTGTTATTGTTGTTGTTATGTGCTGTTGAATCGGACCATCTTTTTGCTACTGTAAATAGTGCTGCGATGAACATGGGTGTGCGTTTGTCTGTTCTTGTCATGGCTCGCTCTTCTTTAGGATATATATCTAGCAATGGAATGGCTGGGTCAAATGGTATTTCTAGTTCCACCTTTTTAAGGAATCACCATACTGCTTTCCACAGTGGATATATCATTTGACAGTCCTACCAGCAGTGTATGAGAGTCCCAATCTCTCTGCATCCTCACCAGCATTTGTTATTTTCTGTCTTGTTGACTTTGCTACTAGTGCTGGGGAGAGATGGTCTCTCGTTGTTTTGATTTGTATCTCTCTAATGGCTAATGATCATGAACATTTTTTCATGTGTTTGTTGGTCACCTGAATATCTTCTTTGGTGACGTGTTTATACATGTCTTCTGCCCATTTTTAAATTACATTGTTTGTCTCTTTGTCGTTGAGATGTTGGAGTTTTCTATAATTTTAGAGATAAGTCCCTTGTCAGATATGTTGTTGCCAAATATTTTTTCCCAACCATAGGTTCTCTTTTTACTCTTTTGGAGAGTACTTTGAAGCATATAAAAATTTAATTTTTAGAAGGTCCCATTCATCTAGTTTGTCTTCTGCTGTTTGTACATTTCGGGTTATGCTTGACAGTCTAGTTATGCCATAAATTAAATTTGCCCCTATTTTTTCCTTTAGAAACTTTATAGTTTTAGAATTCACGTTTAAGTCTTTGATCCATCTGGAGTTAGTTTTTGTGTATGGTGTGAGGTACAGATCTTGCTTCATTTTTCTGCAAGTGATATCCAGTTTTGCCAGCACCATTTGTTAAAGAGACTATCTCTCCCTATTTAATGGATTACAGCCCTTTGTCAAAGATGAACTGACCATGGGTCAATGGCTCTATTTCTGGATTCTCAATTCTGTTCCACTGGTCTATCTATGTGTCTGTCATTGTACCGGTACCAGACTGTTTTGACTGCTATGGCTGTATAGTAGGTTTTGAGATCCAGGACTGTGACACCTCCTACTTTCTTCTTCTTCTTAGGTAGTGCTTTGCTTATATTAGGGCTCTTTCCTTTCCATATAAAATTAGTGATTGGTTTTTCCATATCCTTAAAGAATGTTGATGGGATCTGAATTGGGATTGCATTGAATGTATAGATTGCTTTGGGTAAAGTTGACATTTTCACAATGTTCAATCTTTCTGTCCACAAGCATAGTATGTTCTTCCATTTACATAGATCTCTTATGGTTTCTTGAAGTAGTGTTTTGTAGTTTTCTTTTGTGTCCCTGTTGTTGTTGTTGTTATGTGCCGTCGAGTCGCCTCGGCTCATAGCAACCCCTCCTTGGGTTTCTGAGGCAGTATCATTATGGAAGTAGATTATCCTTCCGAGGAGTGGCTGGTGGGTTTGAACTGCCAGCCTTCTGGTTAGCAGTCAAGTGCCTTGGGCACTATGCTCCCAGAGCTCCCTAGTGAGATTTATTCTCAAGTATTTTATATTTTTGGAACTATTGTACATGGTATTGATTTCTTTATTTCCTTTTCAGCAATCTCTTTGCTGGTGTAGAGGAATCCAACTGATTTCTGTATGTTGATCTTGTATCCCACCACTATGCTAAATCTCTCAATTTAGATGCCATTGATTTCTCTTTCTTGCCTTATTGCCCTCACTGGGACTTCCAATACAGTGTTGAACAAAAATAGTGATAGAGGGCATCCTTGTCTGGTTTCTGTTTGGAAGGGGAATGGTTTCAGTCTCTCTCCATTGAGAATAGTGTTGGTTGTTAGTGTTGCGTATATACCCTTTATTATGTTGAGGAATTTCCCTTCTATTCTGATTTTGCTGAGAGTTTTGATCAGGAATGGGTGTTGACTTTTATCAAATGCCTTTTCTGAATCGATTGATAAGATCATATGGTTCTTTTCCTTTGTTTTATTTATGTGATGGATGATGTTGATTGTTTTTCTAATGTTGAATCATCCTTGTATACCTGTTATGTACCCCATTTAGTCATAATGTGTTATTTTTTTGATATGTCATTGGAGTCTATTGGCTAGGATTTTGTTGAAGATTTTTACATCTATATTCATGATTGATACTGGTCTGTAGTTTTCATTTTTACTGATACCTTTGCTGGTTTTGGTATGAAGGTTATGCTTGCTTCATAAAATGAATTTGGGAGGATTCCATCCTTTTCTATATTCTGTAATAATTTGAGTAGGATTGGTGTCATTTCTTCTCTGAACGTTCAGTAGAATCTCCAGTGAAGCCGTCTGGGCCAGGGCTTTTTTTGTTGTTGTTATTGGCAATTTTTTTATGACCTGTTCAATTTCTTCTTTTGTTATGGGTCTGTTCAAATTTTCCACCTCAGTCTGTGTTAGTTTAGGTAACTAGTATGTTTCTAAAAGTCCATCCATTTCTTCTAGATTTTAAAATTTTTTGGAGTGTAGTTCTTCATAGTATCCTGATATTCAGAATATGTTAGTAAGTTTTAATGAATGTTTACTTCTTGTTACTGTTTTTTTTCAACAAATGGTAAGTGTATGTAAGTTTTAGTATTTATATATAATATTCTTTACTTAGGTTTTTTCCTATATGTGTATCCTATATTTAATTCTGTTATTCTCTAATTTAATTCTGAAAATAGTTCTGTTACTTTTAATTTATCTCCACATAAAATTATGACGTTTTACATCTTAACAAAGGCTACACTATACTTCTGCTTATATTGTGCTAAGGATAGCATTGACCTGCTTTGATGAATCGTGGAGATGTGAAAGGTTGAATAGATTTGCTTCTCTTCTGGTACCCTTTAATATTTTAATTAGGTAGTAATTTGTGTTATGTTTTATTTCACCCGTAGGGAATTCCTAATGAAAGCTGGAGAATAACAAAGATAAATGAACGATATGAGCTTTGTGATACATACCCTGCCCTCTTGGTTGTGCCAGCAAATATTCCTGATGAAGAGTTAAAGAGAGTAGCATCCTTCAGATCAAGGGGCCGTATCCCAGTAAGTATGAAGCTTTGATGAGACTTTTCAAATGCTTTTGTACAATACATAATACTGAGATTAATGAATGGGAAGATGGAGAGCTCACACAAAAAGCAGAGCACAAGCAAGGATGCAGGATAAAAGTAGCTGCAGCAGCCGGGTACACCAGGTCACTGTGAGTCAGAGCTGACTTGATGGCACCTAAGAACAGTAACAGCAACAGGAGCAGGACTTTTATCAGAGATTGAGTTATTTAGAAAAACTAAAACTGGAAGGAAAATGTGAAGAGCTTTCTGAAGAGTATGACATGGATTTTAGAGAACTGCATGGAATTAATGATTTGTAACTGGAAAAGAAATTTGGCCCTGTGCATTATTCACTATTTCTTTAGTCGTGGTTATAACTGCTATTTTTCTGTAAGTCCTAGAAAGAATAAAACTTTACAAATTTATGGTGACTGCTTGGGTCCTAGAAAGATCAGTTCAAATAATTTTAGTTATAAAATAAATAGTAGCTATTTATTAGCAGACCTTATAGTTGGGTATTTTTGCTGATAAGCATTAAAACTTTAGAAATGGGGTTTACTTATCTTCTATTAATGTATTTTTTCCCCAAGTGATCTATGACTTTTGTAAATAAATAGCAGATTGAAGAGTTAGACTTAAGTTTTCCAGATGCTAGAGATGCTAAACATGGCTTCTTTTCAGCCACTTCTGAGAAAATTGGCTCTGTGAACCTTATGAATAGCAGTGAAATACTGTCTGATGTATTACTGGGAAATTTTATGGTGAGGATTGTGGGGATGGCATGGGACTGGGCAGTGTTTGCTTCTGTTGTATATAGAATCACTATGAATTGGAGCTGACTTGATGACCCCTAACAACAATACTTTAAAGAAAGGTAGTGACTTTTCCTCAGTTATCCTTTCATGAATCCAGTTAGAAAGCAGAACTCTCTAGAGTACTGTTTTTGGGGAGAAATAAATAAAGTCTTTGTCACCATGTTTTTTCCCATTAGGTTTTATCATGGATTCATCCTGACAGTCAAGCCACAGTCACTCGATGTAGCCAGCCCATGGTAGGAGTAAGTGGGAAGCGAAGTAAAGAAGACGAAAAATACCTTCAAGCTATCATGGATTCCAATGCCCAGTCTCATAAAATCTTTATATTTGATGCCCGGCCAAGTGTTAATGCTGTTGCCAATAAGGTGAGATTGTCCTGCTTTTAGTAATTAAGCTTGTAATAACAAGTTTCATGAGTCAGCTGAGTTTGGCAGGGGCCACAGTATAGTTTTACTAAAACTAGAACTCAGCCTCTACATAATGATCTAGGTTCTGATCTTGGCTTTCTACCTAATGGTTGTGTGACTTTGAGTTAGTTATTTAATTTTGTTGTTGTTAAGTGCCATCGAGTTGGACCCAACTCATAGCGACCCCTCCTTGGGTTTCTGAGGCAGTATCACTACAGAAGTAGATTGCCCCATCTTCCTTCCGAGGAGTGGCTGGTGGG